TCACCGAGGCTACAGCGGATCCGAATGCGTATGATGAGATACGATTATCGCATGACCTGGACCCCAGGAAAAGACCTTGCCATAGCAGATCTACTATCAAGAAGTCCTATTCCGGCTGACGAAGATGGCGAATTGACCGAAGAAGTGGAAGCCTTCGTCCACGAAATCAGTCTGATTAGTATAGTCTAAACACTACAGATGAAAATGTGACAAAGGTACTTCACTCACAAATGAGAGATCCAATCTGTGCACAACTTAAGTTACAAATTTTAGACGAATGGCCTGTAAAATCAAGTTTACCTAATGAGATTCAAGAGTACTTTAATGTGAAAGACGAGTTAAGTTGTATTGATGGGCTATTGCTTCGAGGAACTCGGATGATAATACCTCAAGAACTACGAGCGGAAATGCTCGAGAGGCTTCACAGTGGACACTTGGGAATCACAAAAACAAGGAAACGTGCTTTGGGAACCATGTGGTGGCCTGGAATTTCTCAAGAAATAGAAAGGAAAATCAAATCGTGTCCAGTGTGTATTCAGAACTCAACTAATCACAGTGAACCATTGATTCCGAGAACTGTCCCGGATTACCCGTGGCAAAATGTGTCTGTTGACTTGTTCAAACACGAAGACAAGTGGTATATGGTTATCGTGGATCACTACTCAAGATACTTTGAAGTCGAGGAAATGCATCGAATGAGGGCTTCAGATGTGATTCGGGTTTGCAAAACCACATTTTCACGTTTTGGAATTCCTCAACGTGTTTATTCAGATAGTGGGACACAATTTCACCATATTGACTCAAGTGAATTTAAATTGTTTGCAAAGGAGTGGGGGTTCTCCACATTCAGAAGTAGTCCCCACCACCATCAGGGAAATGGGGCAGCTGGAGCAGCTGTGAAAGTAGCAAAAGGGCTAATGAAGAAAAACAAGGATAAATTTGAACTTGCCCTACTTTCTTACCGGACCTCACCTCTTGAAACCGGCTTTTCCCCATCTGAACTTATGTTTGGAAGGAAATTAAGAGACAATCTTCCATCTACTTTGGTTGGAAATCCTGTGGAAAATAAGAATTTTCTTGAGAGGGAGAATAAGTACCAGAATAAGTACAAGATACAATTTGATAAACGACATGGAGCGAGTGGTTTAAGTGAATTAGAAGTTGGAAGCATGGTATGGATCACAGATCTACGTCGACACGGTAAGGTAGTCAGGAAATTGAACGAACCACGTTCCTACCTTGTGGAAACTGACAAGAGAACTATTCGCCGAAACAGGAAGTTCTTAGTTCCTGCACCGTACTACGGAGGAGATGGAATTCTTTCAAACTGTTCATCCATGGTCCTTAATCGTCCATGCAACTCACGTGATCGTCCAGGAGCTGGCACAGTAACCCGTTACGGAAGGTCCATTAAGAAACCGAGGCGGTACTGGGATTCATAAAGATGTGGACATCTTGAAGCGGGATGTTGTATTAAGTCTGTTCTTTTATCATGTGTTTAAATATGTTTGTTGTCAGATGTTTTTGTAAACATTAGTTTTAGTTTGAAAATAGAGTTTTTATAAACAGATGTTTTTTGTTTTTGAATTTGTTCTATGCATTTCTTATGGGGAAAATCCAACCTTTGAGAGGGCCTCACACCCTTAAGAGTAGGAATTTTAAAATTCTAAAACCTTATTGCAAAACTACATATTGAGACGAATCTTTTGACACCTTAAACGTTGAAATCGGTTCACAAATAAGGGAGGAGTTGCGTTAACAAAAAACGGCTTCACGTATTATATATATAGATAGATATAGATAGATAGATTCTCGTGTCACAGTGTTTGTCTGCAAACTCCTCCGGAACGACTTCACCGATCGTTATGAAATTTGGTGTGTAAATTCTGTAGGTATGCGAATCGGACGTAAACTATTTCCCGTTTCGAAATTCTTAAAAGGGCTCCGCCCCAGTGGCTCTGGAGTTTCCCATGTTAACCTTATGAGAAATGGAATTAATGAATCTTAACAGCTGTTTCAATTAAACAAGTTGGTTCTGTTCTATGATGTTCAATAGCATTAAAGTTACAAGGATTACCAACAGGGTGCAGCACTATTATTTCCTTTACATTTATGACAACAGCTAATTTGCAACCAAAAGGTGAGTGAGCGTAGCGAACGAACTTCAACCTGGAGGCGAGTTAGCGTAGCGAACGAACTTCAACCTGGAGGCGAGTTAGCGTAGCGAACGAGCTAACCTGAAGGCAAGTGAGCGCAGCGAACGAGCTCCAACCTAAAGGTGAATGAGCGTAGCGAACGAGCTCCAACCCAAAGGTGAGTGAGCGTAGCGAACGAACTTCAACCAGGACGTGATTGAGCGATGCGAACGAGAGAGGCGAGTGAGCGTAGCGAACGAGCTAACCTGAAGGCAAGTTAGCGCAGCGAACGAGCTCCAACCTAAAGGTGAGTGAGCGTAGCGAACGAGCTCCAACCCAAAGGTGAGTGAGCGTAGCGAACGAACTTCAACCAGGACGTGATTGAGCGATGCGAACGAGATCATCTTGAAAATTAAACGTAACGGTACTTTCTTTCCATCGGTCTGTCTTAGGGGAAACCTATAACATAGGCGATACGAAGTTCGCCGGGTCAGCTAGTTTCGTTATAAAATTGTTTTATTGTTTTTTATCATTATAAAATTTACTCGATACTTCTATCAAGTAATGTGTTGAATAAAAAAATCCATTTAATTATTTGTCAAATAATATTGTTATGAACTTGGCTACTGCAAAACCTTTATTGGCGATTTCATTTGATCGCAACGTGAAACTATTTAGGAAAATTACTAAATGATCCTCTTGTTTTTCTATCTCGTATTTTATTTTTCTCATATTAGAAGTGGGCTAACACAAACTGTAATACTGAAGGAAGAACTCTTTCTTGAAACAACCAAACCGACAGTACAAAGAAATGGTATACTAAAAAATGTATCTAAGAGTGAAATTATTCAGTCTTCTGACCAAAGTGAAAGGGATAAAAGGCTCAACTGTAGTCCTGACACATGAACTCATTCTAGGAACAATATAACAAGGCATTTGTATCACCAACCAAATCAAACGTTCAGGGAAAAGAGGTATATTAGAAAATTAGTCAAAAAGTGAAATTGACCCCTTGGACCGAAGTGGAGGAGGAAATGCTAACGAGGCGCCTCTTAATTATCTCGGAAGCATCTCTGGTTGTATTTCTGGAGGTGTGATTGTGCATGCGTAATGGTCTTACTTTCCCCCTCCACGGTCACTAGGCTAGACTCACTGCGTCGATCTGCTGTCTGCTTATTACCCACCACTCACCGCTCTCTGCCCACCAAATGAATGACTTCATTGTCTAGGCGAAAGATCGCAATTCTTCTTCAATTTATATTGTCCGTTCCTTCTTCCCTAGTAGGTTTTACATTTGACTTGGTACTGCAGTAGACATCCCCATGGAAAAGCTGCAGTCTCTTCCACTCAAATAGAGAATAGTTCGGGGTTTTACTTGGCTTGCGCAAATTCCTAACCCTCAAAGAATTCAACTCCCGCAGTTTCAACTAAATTCCATGAGGTGGCTAGGAAGGTGGTATTTCACGCAGGGCAAATATTAATTTGAACAAGGCTTGAAAAATCTATCAGTTAAAGCCGGATGAGACTTATATTTCTTTAGTTTCGTTTAATGGTTCATTTCTTTTATAACATGACTGATCATATTGAAAAAAATGATATGTGAATATGTTATAGAGTGCTACATTTATAGCTGTACCCGCTTTAAGTTTCCACCCTTTGGCAGTTCGTGGAACTGTGAAAGATGCTTTAGTGTACAATTAATTCAACTTTCAGTTTGGCATGACTTTAAGCGTTTGTGTAAAAAAGAAAAACGGAATTAACAACAGTTCACCATTATGTGGCTCAATCAAACTAAGTATTATTTATTTTAAAAATGACTTAAGGTGCTTTCAGTTAAAAGTGATTGAAATAAATTAAACACTTGGTTAAATAAACTTGGCACCAACTTCTTCACCTGGTATGAACGGTCTCCCTAATCACAGTCTTACTGTACGTCTACCATTGCAACAGCGTTTAGATAACGACGACCTTGGTAACCCATTATCCTCCTCATACCTCTAGGAAACAATTGATAATTAATAACAGGGTCTGTCACAGGCATTAGCCTCGAAGCAATCTCTGCGGAAAGCCGTAGATCGTTGTAACAATAGAGATAAGAGAACTTACCGATAGTCCGTATCCACCGTTGGTCGCGGGGTAGTGGGGCAAGTAGTCGGGGCGAGACCCTGAGGCTACCGATCCTTGTGGGGGTCCCGTGGGAAGAGGATATGGTGGTGGCTGAGTAATACGGGGTGAGGGAGATGCAGGGTAAGCAGGTTGTGGTTGGGGATGTGAAAGGGGTTGGTTGGGGTAGGTCATCACAGGAGGTGGTAGATTCGAGGAAACCGGTGAGGAATATACCATGGTAGCTTGGTTGTGGGATGGAGAAGGAAGGGGAAGGGGAGGTTGAGAATGTGAAATAGGAGGTGATTGATGGTATGACGGAGGAGAATAAGGAGGATTTTGTGGTTGTGGATAACTTTGAGGAGGTTGAGAAGTCTGAGTACAACTCTGTCCACAAGAGGTTTGAGGGGGTGATTGAGAATAAGAAGGATTTTGTAGCTGTGGATAACTTTGAGGTTGCAGAGCATTCCCTAATTGTTGCTGCTGGTTACAATTACTACAAGTATTTTGAGGACTTTGTAGAGTTTGTTGAGAGTAGGACGGAGAAGGATGAGTAGAAGAACTTTGTGGCTGAGGATAATGTTGGGTCTGCTGAGGAGTGTATGCTTTCTGGGGTTGGCCACAATTTTGACCACAGGGACTTGCAGGAAGAGGTGCAGGTGAGTTTTGACTACAAGGTGTAGAACTACTGTGCCCCGGCTGTACACTACCACTGCCACCATTGTACCATCCACCTCTACTGCAGCCTACGTGCCGCTTTACCGGGCCGTGGTTCTCGCTGTGGCTGTCGTAGGAGGGCGCCCCGTACGATGTTGAGGGTGTGGGAACTCCGTAGCTAGTGGAGGGTGCTGAGTAATCACCTCGCACTGCCAGACACAGCATCAGGACTGTTGTTGTCTGAAACATTAGTTTGTTAAGTGTCACCATGTCGATTGTTTTAAATATGATTTGAATACAATAATCTATTTATACATCGACTGTCTAGTGCATCACTTGTGCAAAAATATATGTAGATTGGTTAATTTACTAATGAACAATTTACTAATGCTCCGTCGTTTTTCTTGCCACTAACAGTAGTTGTTCGGTTGCGTTTCCACCTCAATTAGCAACAGCTAATGAACAGCCTAAGAATGTTGAAGTTCATAATAAGACAAACCTTTCATTGGCATATTATAACAATTAATTTCTTAAAGTTTCATTAGGATTCTATGGAGATTATGGACCAATAAGGGTCATACAGACATACACACGATTTTTCTTTTTGTATTTAAATTAATCTACATTTTTTCATACACCAAGATTATTTAGTTAGTTACTTCTAACATTTAGCAAGTTGATAGTTCAGTCAAAAGTTAATTATTGCAGTTTATTTCCGTGCTATAACAGCCCACCCCTTGCACTTGACTTTCTCCATGCACAGACCTGAGAACCATGTGAATGGGCGACCGAAAGGTTAATTGATACCGCAAAACTTAAAAAGCGAATCAATCAAAACATGCCTCTCAAATGTTCAAATTGCTTACAAGATACAGAATCTAATTGTTAAACTTGACAATCAAATCATAGTATATCGCTGTGTATTAAGACGATATGATGTCGTCGTTATTGTATGTTTATTCAAAATAATTTGGCTAAAAATAATCAAAACATAAAAGTTTAAGTACATTTTGGACGGTAGAATTACAGAATCTGTGGATTGCGAGACTCCAGCATAACTGATTAATTTACCACAACGCGGGGAAGGCGCCTCGTTGTTCGACAGACTTATTAAAATGAAATCTCGTCGTCCTACACAAACTTCGGTTTTATATTTGTTTCCACACAAAATACATTTTTAGTAGAGTAGTCAAGAATAGCCTATAAAAACAGGTGTAAGTGTTAGAATTTTACAAGTTTATCTACAAATCGGAACTAGATTTAATTCTAATATAAGAACCGTGTGTGTTTTATGCTTCAATCAACCAAATCAATGCATATAGAGCCTCAATTTCGTAAAAAAATAGTCAGATTCTGATTCACCAACATGTAAAATGATTCTGACAAATGTTTGTATTTGACAATTGTGAAATTAGAACTAGTGAACTTCTGGTTGAAGTAAATCCTGTATTCGAAGAATAAACTAACAATAAGTTAATAATTAAGAAATATTATAAATTTATTTCTTATTGTTGATATAATAGGGAAATATTTAATATCATAATTGTGGGATAAAGAATTTGTCTAAAATCAAATATGGATTTCCCCTGTATGGTGTTTTGGCCTCTGAGTATCTCGAGAAATAAAAAGGAAACTGCTTTACACGATGACTGTAAGGATATTGGGCATCTCTATATTTTTATGGCTAAAAAACCTTTTTAAAAAAAAAATTCACCCCATAACATCCCGTTTTCATAGCCATAATCGTGACAACATCATCCTGGTCCGCGAACGTTATACAACACTTCCATACCTTATAACTGATTTCGAGTTACCTCTATTATTAATGCCGTTGGATGCATTGTCCAGTATTGTGCTAGGACAGAACTACAGAAAATGCTATTTTATGTTCTGAGCCAATAAATTAATCAAATGATATTTTTAACCAAAGCTTCAATAAATAGAGAAATATTTGAGCCCATTCCGTGAGGTATAACACATTTAACTATTTATCTTTGTGAATGAACAAAGCAAGATAATTTTTGTTTCTTCAACTTTTTCAAATGAGAATACCGTAATAATCATTCACATTCTCCACTTCACCATATTTCGAGTTTTCCCACTCATTCTGATTATTGGAGTAACAATCACAATGTGTTGGGTTGGCAAAAAATATGCAAAGGAAGTGTGCTGATACTGGTTATCCGTATAATCTCCGTTAATTATGGGGTTGTTGATAAAATCAAGTGGTGGCGGAGGTCAATTGAAATGTGGGGTGCCATTAAAAGTAATGTGCGATAACGGAGCACATTGTTTTCAAACTCTGAACTTTTGAATATTCATGCTAACAAGTAAACTATTACCCCTCCCTCGTATTGAGAACCATTCTTGGCTACTCCATTGCAAGAGAAATAATTTTTTTTAATATTGAAAACATTATTATACGCATTTCTACTAAATGTATGCTATTCTTTTACATGTGTATGTTGACTATTTTTGATGCTAAATGTTAAAACAGATAATCGCCTGTTTAAAAAATCTATTCAAAACTAATTTTTTTGTAGTCAAATTTCTACTACATAAATTTAAAAAATGGAGGACTTTTACACGTACTTTCAGCGAATTTCCCATGATGGAAGTAAACTATTACCGTAGGTATTATGGTACGACCGATGTTAAGATTTATCAAAATACATCCATAAACAAGCAAACGACAACATTTTACAATATTCTTCATCAGAATAACATGTGAATTTTAATTTTTTTCTATTACCGATAACTGTACAAACACACTTTGATACGATAAATTATTTTTTTAAGTTTTTCAAAAAGATCTAGAGAGAAATTTGAAAATGTTGTGTTTTGAGGGTCAAAATAGGAAAAACTAATTTTTACCCTATAAAATCCCCTATAAAACCCTGATCCCATAGCCCGATCATGCTGGTTCGCGAACTCATTCAAGTTTATTTCGCCCGACACCTTCAAGCAGAAATTAATAAAAATCGGACAAAAAATACTCAAGTTATCACGTCCACGGACAAACATAATATATATACATACATGAAAATTTTAACGAATTGTGTTTTGGCCCTTGGGACATCAAAATGAAAAAGTAAATCGGTCCTGGTCCTAGGTCTTACCAAGCCTATGGTAATAGCTATTTCCCTTTAGGGAAATTCCATAAAGCCGGTAAATTGTCTGGGTCCCAAAAGTGGATTTTCCCACCTTTAAAACTGAAGGAGACTGTCATTGGACAATCAATAATTATCTATCTAAAGGTGAACGTTAAATAATAACAGCCCAGCGTTTGGATATTTACCTTAAAAGTGCGTAAAGATATGTTATATAGGTGATTAAAATAAATAAAATAAAATAATAGTAACGGTACCCGTTCTTATGATGTTACCTGTAAACGATCAATCAATGATCGTTATCAATTAATAACCCGTTGGGTTATCAATCAATGGTATTCAACAAAATAATCGTAATAGTATCAAGTCAAGGCCAGGCCTTGGGTCGTTCCCTCACGTAAATACTTCAAATGCCAATATGACACAAAAAAATTTAAAACAGTCTTGTCTACAACTAATCTCGTTTACCCTTAATTTACCCCTTATGAGTGTGTCTGCTATACAGCAGTTGGAGCTGCTAGCAGTACTCGACCTCGAGGTCCTGGCCAGCAGCCAGTGAGTTATAATAGCCATCAGCTTGAAACCAGACAATGCTCTGATTCCGGACACATTGAATCATATAGGTTATGTAATTACTTCATCACACATACTCTTATTTGTTTGAATATTTTTTTCTTTCCTATACAGGTCTGCACTAAAAGATCTTTAAATGTTTTGGAAATTATCTTCCTGTGAGGGACAGGTCCAGCCCTTGTTGTATAATTTTCTTACATTAAACATTTCATAGATAGCATCATTAACTAATAGCCCAATAACAATGACTTATGGGCCCAAAATATATTTATGTACGCTATGGCAAGTACTTTGGGTCTATCTATGTACGTGGACAGGTTGGCATAAATAAAGTGACTACCCCAATAATGTTTAGTTTTTCTATTCTACTGCCTTTGGAATTTTTAAATGTGTTTGTAACCATGCGGTTGAAACAATGGTTTTGTTAAATGGTGTTGTTGCTTAGCAGCCAAATGGCAAATAGCATCTACATTTTAAATTGAGGCAACCTACAATATGCTAGCACTAATAACACCTCGAATATCCAACTAATCAGAGATGTAGGATATTATCTGAAAGCACCAACTCACTCCAAGTATTTCCAAACTTGTCATTATATTGTAAATGACGACTGCCTTGATACGTGTTTCATGTTGGTAACGTGGAGTGCTCTGTTTCAACCAAATCTGTATTATTTCAGGTTGAGTTACAATTTAATTCTTTATTATTTCTGTTTCAAAAGTACAAGTAAAAGCAATAGTTTACACGTAGATCATTATTGGTAAAACTAGTTTTAAAGTTGGTTGTATGACATGAGCACGACAGAGTACCTTCAACACAAATTGATGTAAACAAACATAAAAGTCTCCACCGGATCCATAAGGATCGTAATACAGGGTTAGTAAAAAGTGTGTAGACCCCCTGTTATTTTTTTAACGGCCCATACTAGAAAAACTAAACTCGGCACACCATTATGGCATGTTATGAAGTACTTTTTGGGCATAACCGTCACTTGCTGTACATCCCCAAAACGGGGGATTTAGGGGGAAACTCAAAACTTTCAAATGCAAAGACCCATCGAGTGACCCCTCATTTTGAAGGTCCTGGTAAAAGAAAACCAACAACGCAAACTAGAGGTCTCTATCTCAGTTCAATAAAAAGTGGCAGCCAATTGAAATTCTCATAACTTCCCAAACCCAAAATGGGGGATTTTGGGGAAACTCAAAAATTTTAAATGATAAGCCCAATCGAGTGACCCCTCATTTTGAAGGTCATAATAAAAGATAAGTAACAACGCAAACTATAGGTCTCTATCTTAACACAGTAAAATATGGCAGCTAATTGAATATAAAATTGCAAGTTATTTCCAATTTCTAAAGATTTCAATAAGCTTCCATTTTTTATTGGATTGAGATAGAAACCTCTAGTTTGCGTTGTTAGTTTACGTTTACCAGGATCTTCAAAATGAGGGGTCACTCGATGGGGCTTATCATTTAAAACTTTTGAGTTTCCCCCAAAATCCCCCATTTTGGGTTTGGTAAGCAAGTGGCTATTAGGCTTAAAAAGTACTTCATAACATGCCAAAAAGGTGTGTAGAGTTTAGTTTTCCTAGTGTGAGCCGCTACAAAATTTACAGCAGGTCTCCAGACTTGGAAAGCTGTAAGTTAAATTGAACTTCTGAGAATTTCAATTGGCTGCCATTTTTTACTGGATTGAGTTAAAGACCTCTAGTTTGCGTTGTTGGTTTTCTTTTACCAGGACCTTCAAAATGAGGGGTCGATCGATGGGTCTTTGTATTTGAAATTTTGGAGTTTTCCCCAAAATCCCCCGTTTTGGGGGTGTACACCAAGTGACGGTTATGCCCAAAAAGTACTTCATAACATTTCATAAAGGTGTGCCGAGTTTTGTTTTTCTAGTATGGGCCGTTAAAAAAATAACAGGGGGTCTCCACACTTTTTACTAACCCTGTATAAGAGGATGTTTAAGGGGGAAACCTATGAAAAACATTTCTCATATTTTAAACAATTTTACCAAAATTCCTCGTAAAATCACTTGACTAGATTTATAGATCAATAAACAGGCTTTAGAATATGTTATTTCAGTAGGTTTGACCTTGTCGGAGCTGTAATGAAGTGGTAGACGACGCCAAGTTACATGTGGTGTGGTGCAGGTGCAGGTAAACACTGGGCAAAAATATTACTTGGCTTCAACTGTACCTAGTTGTAGTTGTGTGTGTGTCCGGGGATACCTCCCCCCTTCACTGTATATTTGACTGTTGGGTTAAGTTTTTTGGTATCTGATAAAAAACTTATAGTTTAACTGTTAGGTTTTTGGAGAGGCTTAGAGCTATTGTTGCAATTTGAAGAAACGGCCAGAATACAGTAAACGCAATATTTGTATTACTGCTACAATAATTAAAGTCCAAATAATGTAAAATGAGACACCAACTATTAATTATTTAAAAAATGTTAACAATAAACGCCAGAGTTTAAGACAATTTATAAAAATGTATTCTCACTATATATTTTCTTGGAACTGAATCGCTACTCAACCACTGTAGTATTTATGATAAATTTCTAATTCAGCAGTGACGTACACATAAATGATGTTTTAAATTAACAATCGTAATGTTTGTTCTATAAATCACCTCAAAATATATATCACCAAAATATTGAATCTCACTTTCTAGAAAATTAGTTTAATTCCACAAGATACACATTGAATGAACAACACAAATATCTCTTGGACTTCACAATCAGAAGCAACAGGTTTCTACTTCTTGGCTGCAAAGTTCATCTCCGAATTGTTACAAGAGATCAATTGTTGAAACGTTGAAACCAACTTCACTTCCTCACCAGTGATTTCATTTTGTACAACTTTTGTTTCTCTATTATACACTGGTTACCATTTGATTTTTTCTAAACTTATTGTATATCTCTTTTATCTTCCAAAACACTTTTTCCTGCTTTATATTATTTACTGTGAAGTGTATTTAATAAACGTGATATTTATTATGTATACACTAGTATGTTATATTGTTTTTTTATATGTATAGTATTTATTATTGTATAATTTTTATTTAATTTTTTTATCTAATATAAAAATATTATATAAATAAAAATATATAAATAAAAAATATATAAAATTATATTAGCCAGTGATATCGGTTTGTGTACTATTTAGAATATTTTCCCTCATCATGTGTATACAAAACAGTTCTCGTAAAGTTAATTGCCCTTCATCGAATATTTTATGTATGATCTTTATGTTTATTATTTTTAATGACGTTGTAATAATCAATTATTAGATTATTTGTATTAATTACTTCTTGTGATTTTATTATTTACTATGTTATAGAGTTATGCGAGTTATACTTTTCTAAAGTTTTAATGTAGCCGTTTTCTTATAGACTATCTATACATTTTTTTTCTTGTAAAAACATGAGTTGATTTTAAGAAAACACCATTGATTTCACGGGTATGTTGAGACATTACAGTAGTTTCAAATCGAATAATGTTGAACAAACCTCTCATAGGGTCCCCCTTCATTTGAATTACAAAATGTGTTTCCTTTTAGTTTTTTTAATCTAAGAGAATTTGTAAGGACATAAAAGACTTTATAGATTGTAATAAAAGTTGCACATTTAGTAACTTATATAAAAAGTTTATATATAAAAAACCCCATTAATGAACGGTGAGTGGCTAAATTTAGCTTATCTTTTTTTTATAACATGAACAAAGGTATAGAATTTGTGGACATGGTTGTGCTTCCATTGTCAAGCCTTGGCTCGTTTGTTTACTTCCAAGCTAGGATATTTTCTTATAAACCATTAGTTTTAAGATATAAGACATTCTTAAATGTGTTATATTTTCCATCGAAATGTGGATTAATACACGTGTTATGAATTCCATACGTTTCCATTTTAGAAAACATAAGCTTTTAGACAATTAGAAAATATGCATTGATAATATTCGTATTAAATTCAAAAGTTGATAATTAAATTCTAAATAATTGTTAACATCGAAATTAAAATACCTGCATTGTATATTATACAGTAGGCCTATAGTACTTCAACAAATTCTCAAAATGCAAAAAGTCTTTACATTTTTATTTAACTGAAGTATTTTGTATATTTAAACCCCAAATACTTTCAACCCGCTCTAAGGTTAGAGTGGATATTCCGTAGTCAGATCGTTTGATCAGGAGAGTGCAGCGGTCAATTTATGGCCTTTCTACATTCCACTTACATTCAACGTTTAGAACTATAGTCGATGAAAACGCGAAGGCCAATTTCTATGTTATATAACTTCACATATGTATATTACTAAATTAATGTTTTTTTTTTCTAAAACTATTGAATATTGTTCTCTACAATTTTTATATAAAATAGTAGAGGCCAGTTCTTCTCTTTATTCTTTGGTATTAGCTTAAAAAGTAGAATTTAAAACCGAATATTAAACTAAATTAGACGAGTTGTGCGAACTTCAGACCAAAAAGGCCGACCCATAAACTAATAATCCAACTAAAAAATACTCATTATGGTTACTAATATGGTTTATTTTTTTCAATCCTCTCACAAGTTTTAAGATACAAACCCAACTAAGGTATTATAATTGTAATAAACTGAGGAAGATAATTTTGTAGTCAAATATTTTATTCGTTATAAATTACTATATAGAACATGAAATAAATATTCTGACTTTGAACAATTAATTGGGTCCTCTAAATGAATTTCACTAACCCTAAATAGTAATTCAATAATCTGTAGAGAAGTCAAGGAAAAAGTAAATTCCCTCGCGACAGCAACCCCCACAGAATTAACGGATAACTATTCAATTTGTTTAGTACTTTTACGAAAAAAAAATTATAAATATTTCTGATTAATTCCCTATTTATGTTTTCGTTATGAGGTTAACAAGTAATTTTGTTTGCTGTGACAGGCTAATAAAGAGTTGTTTAATTGAAATGTTAAAATAACCAGGTTAAATTACTTGATTGCGACCATACCAAAATCATTGTTGAAAGTACACTATATGAATGACAACGTGTTTGCTGTGAGTGTAGAGTTTTGAGTGCCTACCTGTAGTAGGTCCATGGTGTAGTAGGTGGGCGGCGGATCCTGTGGAGACTGGGCGGCAGCGTGGGCGGTTGTGGCTTATATGACGTCGGTGACATAAGTGTGCAGCCGCCCGCAACAGACGGGTGACCAGAGTCATCGTTGACCTAGGGACTGTTAGGAATAAACAGTCAAATAAACGCAAAAACAATGATGATGTGGTAGGGGTACTCGTAGAGATAGACACACGGTTGTATTTATATACATACGTGTGTAAAATTTGGTAGGCCCTATGTGTAAACAAAACAGTTCTGGGGTTTAAATTTATACTAGTGTCCCTGTTGTTCGAATTTGAGCAATTACTAAGTATTAAAGGCGTTATTTTAAAACGAATAACAGTCATAATTTTTGATTACTTTAAAAGATTCAACTCAAAGATTTTGGAAATACTCATGATGTAGGTACATAACAGATCGATATAATCACAATTTATTGTAAATATCTTATCATTTTTTTAAAGCTGATCTTGTTTTTTAGTGTTTTCTACAAATAGCCGCATTAGGTTACCCATATAACATTATAAATTCTAAAAAAAAACATTTCTATTTCTTCTCCTTGGTGGTGTTCTATGACTTTCCTGTGTTTCCATAGTTTGCAAATCGGCTCTTTCAATGATTAATAAGAAATGCAGCACAGTGTTAATTCCGTTTTCTTTTTAAGATTTCAATTTATCTAGGCTATCTCACTTGTTTCTATTGTAATATTTATGCCAACCCAAATTCAAAAATAGCAAACATTTCATTTCAACCATGTCAGTAAATGTTTGTAGCAAAATTTAAATTAGCTAACTTATTGACGGTTTACAACATATGTTCTTCTTCTCACTTTTAATTTCTGACAACAGCTGGAGTTTCATAACAATTTTTGTTTCCCATGTTAGTCTTATGGAGAAATACGAAACTTTAAAGGGCCCCAGGGCCTCACTCTCTAATTATTTCCCTAAAAGGAAAGTTTCCTGCACAACTTCACGTTACGCTCTTTCCAATGAGACCAAAACATGTCAATCGGTTCAGTAGTTTCGGAGGAGTAATTGTCACAAAAATCCTACTTGCGTATTAAACAAGTATAGATAAAATGTGTTTTTTGATTATGGTAATTTTCTTAGAAAAGCCAATCGGTATTGGGATTTGTAATCTGACCCACTTAGTTGTAAACTCAAAAGGAAAACCCAGTAGAAAATAAAATTATATCAACATATCACAACTAAAAATAAATAAAGTATAGGCATATAATAAACCGCGTTAAGTAAAGGCTATTGAAGTGTACACACACACATTAATTTCTTAAAGTTGACAAATAGGTATGATTGTTGACTCACTGTAACCTAGAAATGAATTAAAGTTGAATCATTTGCATACAGGAATTCCTAGAAAACTACTTAAACCTAGGTCCTAAAGCAAGTAAAATATCAGTGAATTTTGTATACCAGTGTGTAGATTCAATCTGCCATTCAATAGAACATGGTTGGACAAGTAGTCATCGTTGAGTAGGCTTCTGACTTCATTTGATATTTTTCCTACTTAATACATTCAGTTATAGGCGGCAGATCACTCTGTCGATGTCTCAATTCTATTACATGAATAATAAATATTATCTTAAAACCTTGCACAGCTGTTTAATATGACGGCAATACTATATACCACTACTATACCTACTCAAATATAGCGTTACGTTAAACGTAAACAACCTGTTTACTCAATTTCAAATTTAATGGTGACTTGGATGACAGATTGTTTATTATGTAGTTGTCAGTCAGAAATTGTATATAAAAATGAATAAGCATTGCTGTAAAATAGCTCACTTCAATAGTTGTTAAAAAAAAGTGGTTCAAGTGCAATATCTTTAAATAGTAATGAATGCCTGTGTCTAAAGCACCAAATGTATCCCTACAGTCCTACTTAATTCTGCAGTATTGAATCCCAAACGGTTCATTGTCGATTATTATGTTATTTTATATTGTTTCAGTTTCAACATACCAAATTTTCGACGTTTTTGTAAAAGAAAATTCCAAACCCAAAATAAAATATAACATTTTATTTTATTTTACTACTGATAAACCTTTATGATTAATTCAAAACGCAAAAACAACCTCAAATCTGTTCATTTCGTATCTCTCTGTATATTCCTAACGATAGCCATTTAATGGTATTGATAAGATAAATTTGACGCCACAAGTTATCTTAGGTTGGGTATGGCTTGGTAATGAAAGTGGCATATTTATGACCCTACACTAGCGCTGCGGTGTGCGGTGGCTACGTCGGAAACTAACCCTCTAGCGTGTCCTGCACAACTGAGAACGCTCACTTCAACCCTTGTACGCTAGTTTATACTCCATGTGATAAAAATCATATTTCTTGACCACTCACAATACAATTCCTTTACAGTGTTATGTATTCATACTGATGGTTCTCAGGTTTGAATTAGATTAGCTATTTAATTACGCTTATTTTTCTGTATTTTCCCCCATTTATGTACATTAAACTCAAAATTCTTCTTAAGCAGGATATTAGTGATTCCACACCTGTCAAGGACGAGTTAAGAGTAGGGAAATTCCTATTTGTGGTGTAACTTTAAAATAATCTACTCATCCTTCCAATTTTCCACTCTAGTAGTCGACCGTTTACAGCTACATAATATAACTGGAGTGATCTATGGGGATTGTGTAGACCAATCATGTCAGGTATACAAAATATTCTATAGTAATAATACATTGGTCAACCATTAATATAAGAGTATTTTATTTGTTTGAAAGCAGATTTATTTACAAACAATTTACAGCAACGAACAGAGTTCACTCTAACTGGACATAAACATACACAAAATTTCCCTAATCTGATCCATAGAAATGACAAATCTTCTACAAAATTAGTGTATTCAATCTATAATTTTCATGAGCTCGATTGTTAGCACTTGAAGCGTTGCTTGAACCAGTTTTGGGTTTAGACTAGGTGGCTGGTACATTTTATTATTATAAAAATCACGAAACTAGTAAAACCTAGAGTTAAATTTCTGTAGGTTTTTAAACGTATTGTTACGTTTATGATTTCTTAAGTACCGGGATACACTTATTACACTTGTTAGTAAGGTAACACTTAGAAGAGTGGAGGTGTGGGAGGGGAGGGGGGATCACGAAGGTCCAATCACAAATTGCATCCTCGTTGGTCTTTTCAGCAATCAAGCCAATTCTCCCTTACATTCTCTCAAATTGACCTTTCTTGTCGACAAACCTACCTTAATTGAATTTTATATCAGAATGTTCAGAAATACTACTAGAGCGTGTGTGGAAATAAGCTTAAAAATCTGCAAATCAAATGTATAGCACGGAAATATTTTAGTCTTATTATGCTTTAACAAGTCTTTCAGCGATATACAGGGTGTCCCGTAAGTAAACAGGCAAACTCCGGGAAATGATTTTATGGGTCAAAATAAAGAGAAAATCAAGAATAAAATTTGTTGTCAAATCGCTTCGTTAACCAGATATCTGCCATTTTCTTAGTTTTACAAAACATATTTATCTTTGAATTATTTCAACCGATCATTATGAAGCTTTGTATGTATGTTAAGGTAAAACAGACCCACGTTAGAAAGATTCTATTTCAATCAAAATAAAAGTTGTGAAAATGGCGTTAATTATAGTTTTCTTATAGAACAGCCGAGGTTGTTCACTAAAACTACTTGGAAAATACGTCTACGACTTAACATATGAATGGAATAGGTATTGTGGCCTTTGACCAAGTACATCTGTATATACTTTTTGTACCACAAACAATACTCTCCTTAGTTACGAAGACTGCCCACTGTCCAGGTATGAGATATGAGGTATGAGATATGAGGTATGAGATATGAGGTATGAGGTATGAGGTATGAAGTATGAGGTATGAGGTATGAGGTATGAGGTATGAAGTATGACGTTTGAGGTATGAGGTATTAGGTATGAGGTATGAGGTATGGTGTATGAGGTATGAGGTATGAGGTATGAGGTATGAAGTATGAGGTATGAGGTATGAGGTATGAGGTATGGGGTATGGGGTATGAGGTATGGAGTATGAGGTATGAGGTATGAGGTATGAGGTATGGGGTATGAGGTATGAAGTATGAGGTATGAGGTATGAGGTATGAAGTATGAGGTATGAGGTATGAGGTATGAGGTATGAGGTATGAGGTATGAGGTATGAGGTATGAGGTATGAGGTATGAGGTATGAGGTATGAGGTATGAGGTATGGGGTATGGGGTATGAGGTATGGAGTATGAGGTATGAGGTATGAGGTATGAGGTATGGGGTATGAAGTATGAGGTATGAGGTATGAGGTATGAGGTATGAAGTATGAGGTATGAGGTATGAGGTATGAAGTATGAGGTATGAGGTATGAGGTATGAGGTATGAGGTATGAGGTATGAGGTATGAGGTATGAGGTATGAGGTATGAGGTATGAGGTATGAGGTATGAGGTATGAGGTATGAGGTATGAGGTATGAGGTATGAGGTATGAGGTATGAAGTATGAGGTATGAGGTATGAAGTATGAGGTATGAGGTATGAGGTATGAGGTATGAGGTATGAGGTATGAGGTATGAGGTATGAGGTATGAGGTATGAAGTATGAGGTATGAGGTATGAAGTATGAGGTATGAGGTATGAGGTATGAAGTATGAGGTATGAGGTATGAGGTATGAAGTATGAGGTATGAGGTATGAGGTATGAGGTATGAGGTATGAGGTATGAGGTATGAGGTATGGGGTATGGGGTATGAGGTATGAGGTATGAGATATGAGGTATGAGGTATGGAGTATGAGGTATGAAGTATATGAGGTATGAAGTATATGAGGTATGAAGTATGAGGTATGAGGTATGAGGTATGAGGTACACTGTAGTGGCTGTAGTCTGGTTCACACGCTGGCGACCTAACGACTTCACAGTTCTGTACACTAGTTATGACGTATGAGGTATGAGGTATGAGGTATGAGGTATGGAGTATGAGGTATGCTGTAGTGGCTGTAGTCTG